CAGCTGACATTCTGGAAGATCTTGACTTGATTTTCTTATCTTTTTTTCTTTTTATGTTGATCTCTTTTTGTCCGTTTTTGTTTGAGGCTTCCTCAAGTGGTGGATAATCCTTGTATTCTTCTACTTCAGTGAGGCAAGAAAACTCTGATTGGAGGTTTTATACTTCTTAATTGTTAGACTTAATGTTATTATTTTTTTTATGATTTGATTGATTTTTTAGAGACAGGCGCAGGGGGTGGGGGGAGTGGGAGGGAGAAAAAGAAGCATTGATGAGAGAAACATTGATTGGTTGCTTCCCTCATGCACCCTGACCAGGAGTTGAACCCACATCCTAGGTATGTGCCCTAACCGGAAATTGAACCAGTGACCTTTCAGTGCACGGGATGGGATGATGCTCAACCAACTGAGCCACACTGGCCAGGGCTGTTGGACTGCACTTTAAATCAGGGGTTGGCAAACCAGGGCCCATGGTCCAAATCTAGCCTGCTTTTATATGGCTCATGAGCTAACAATGATTTTTATATTTTTAAATGGTTGAAAAACATCAAAAGAATATTTTGTAACGTGAAAGTTATATGAAATTAATATTTGTGTTCATAAATAACACTTTTGGAACACAGCTGTGCCCATTTCTATGTATTATCTATGCCTGCTTTCATGCTGCAATGGCAAAATGAATAGTTGTGACAAAGACTGTATGTGGTACTCATTGCTTTGTACTGCTTTTTGGTGCACTACAAATGACAGTGATGCAGTAATAACTTAACAGGCATAGAGGTATGCCTGTAGCATGACATTTACAAAAATATTTTAATTATCAATGCATACCTATCATTTGAAACAAGACAAGAAAAGTAGATTTTACATGTCACACTTTTAAGGCACAGTGGAGTGTAGGTTATTTCCTTTTGGAATTAGTTGTCAAAGTGTTTCTTACACACTTTTACTATAGTTCTGTATAGCTCTGCTAAAAGAGCACAACCTGTGGATAATACTAGACTAAGTACTGGTAACGATATTCCCAACTCACAGGGAAGCAATGGACAGAGAAGTTGGAAAATTTAAAATGGAATGTCTCATCACAGCAGAATTTCTTAAAAATAAAAAAAATGAAATCAAGGTAAGTTTCTGAGTGGATTGTTAGCCAGGCAAGGAAAAGCTCTTCACTGATGGTGAGTTAATGAAATCCTCCCAGTTAAGTAAAATTCTACAAAGAATTTTATAATTCTTATTAGTAGGTTTATATTAAAAAATCTTTACTAGGTTATTATTACATTTTGAATTTTGTGAATAAAAATTGTGGAAGTTTCTTTTTTTACTTAAGTACCTATATAATGTCTTTGATATTGTCTTTGCCCTCAAGAGCAAAAATACTGTGCCTTCTGATGGCATGCCCCACATTGGGATTTGGTAGGAAGTACTAGGCACAGGTTTCAAGGAGTATTGGCATGTACAGCCTGACCTGTTGTCCACAGTGGATTTGGGTGAGAATTTCTACATTTCTTCTAACAGCACAAATGACTGCCAAGATAAGAATCTTAGACCACTCTGGCCTGTCATCCCATTTGTGGTTTATTAATAGAATGCTGATATCCAAATTAAACAGACTTCTTTTCCATTACTAAGGAATGGCTTAAAACTCATCCTCACATAATAAATACTTATGCAAAAAATTAATATCACTCAAAAGATCTCTTTTTGATTGGGAATAAAGCATATATGAGGGTAACATAGTTAGAGTCATTTAACTGTTTTTTATGTTTTACTGTGTTTATGAGGCTGAAGTGAGTCTGAAGAATTGGAAGTATTTAACAGAGAACACTGCATTTCAGCAGTCCTCTGCAAACTTGAAATTCTGCTTTGTGTTGAGCATCACCTTTATGTGTTGTGAGGTATACAAAATGGATATCTTAAATGAACCTCGACACCACTGAAGAGATGACACATTATTAGAGAATAATATAAGACTTTAAAATAAATTACCCCTTGTTGGTGTGGCTCAGTGGGTTGGGCATCGTCCCATGCATTGAGGGGTTGCTGGTTCGATTTCTGGTTGGGGCATGTGCCGGGTTTGCGGAGTTGTGGATTCCATCCCCGGTTGGGGGTGCATCAATATGATGGTTCCCTCTCTCTCTCTCCCTCTTCCTTTCTCTCTCAAAATAAAAAAAAAAATCTTAAAAATAAATTAATAATCAAATGTTCATGGAAATATGGTTCCAAAGTTGAGATTAGTCATAGCTGAAATTTACTGCTTTTGGTCTTAATGTTGGTTTGAAGGTGGTGATCGACCCCCCTTTCTCATGTGCATATTATTATGATTGATTTTGGCTTTTATGGTTTTGGCTGTAATTCAGGCTGTTTTAACATTGATGTAGTTTCTGTCTTTCTCTGTTTTCCGTCCCCAGTTTATGTTTTATGGTTTCAAGGTAGGTTATCTGAATTGGTAACAGATGGAGAGAATCAGATATGGACAAATTTATTCGAATCTTATGACTTTATGTTCCTTATCCGTAAAATAACATCAGCTTCAAGTTAAAACTTTTTCATGTTATCTATTTGCTTATGAAAAATAAGGGAAAAGGCTCTGCTAGAATTAAACATGATTCCCAAATTTTTAAAATTTGAAGATCTGAAAAAACAAAAAACCCAGCAACTCCTAAGAAGCATATTGATAGTTTGGAAGGTCAAATTAAAAAACGTAACACACACACAAAAACACAAAAGGCTAAAAGATAAAAAGATAAATGTATACTAGCAAAGGTGGGGTAGGGGTGGGGGAGAGACAAGCAAAAAACAAAACAGAAAGAATAATGTCAGCATTAGATATAAAATTCAACTCAACTCAAAAGTATTAAATAGAACAAGAAGGAATTTTATTTAACAATGAAGGATAGAATCCACAAACTGTCAAATTTTTATGTAAAAAACAGGATGGCAGCCACAAACAAAAAGCAAAAATAAAGGGTGTCCCAAAAAAATGTGTACAAATTTTGAGTAACTTAATTCCAGTGGGTTAAATCTGAAAAGAAAGAAAAACATCAATTGAGTTATCAGCTGTTAAAAGTGTGTATATTTTTTTGGGGGATACCCTGTATATGAAAATGTACAAATGTGATGCTGAAATAAAAAATTTAGTGGCTCTCAAACTCACATTTCCTTCTCTAAATTCTGAAATCCAGGAAAGAAAACCTAGTTGCATGCAGTTTTTCTCACAAGCACATGTGTAGATACATAGACTGAAACCCTCTCTACTGTGAACTATACCCACTGACAAGACTCAGGCTTCTTGTAGTTTTGGATTTGAATACTTGAATTCAAGAAGTACTTGAATTCTTGAGTTTCTGGTTATATGGTATTGTTTCCACCTGGGTTAGTAAAAATACTTTCATTTAAATTAGATGTTCAGTACTTTTTCTGTAAAGGACCAGATAGTAAACACTTTAGGCCTTTTTGGTCCAAATACTATTTTCATAGCTTTTTCCTCTTCCTTTCTTCTTTCCTTTAAAAGTAAAAAAAATCATTCTTAATAAATTGTTGACTGAACTATTTATTGTTTAAAATTTCATTTTTTGTTTTATAGCTAGCAGGTTATAAACTTGCCCATATCACCAATGAAAAAGAAAGTACATTACTTTTACACAAGTTTCTGTTAATGTTTTTTTTAAAAAAAAACCTTGGATACCTTTTTCAGATAATGCTACATATTGGAATTAGAATGATATGTATACATAAATTTATATATAAAATTATATTTCTATTTTTTATAGCTGCCAATTTTCCCCCCCCATTTGTGAACTTTGCACCGACCGTTCTTGGTTTCCATGCTGTTTTTTCCTTTCCTAGTTGAGCTACGGGTCCCCAAGACCGCCCTCAAGTTCAGTGATTGGCTAGGACTCAGGATTCAGAAAAATTCTTATACTCATGGTTGTGTTTTATTACAGTGAAAGGATACAGATTAAAATTAGCAAAGAGAAAACGTGCATGGTGTGAAGTCCAGGAGGAAGCAGGCACAAGCTTCCAAGTATCTCCTTTCAGTGGAGTTGGCGCAGGAGGTGCTTGATTCTCCCAGTAACTGTATGTCAGTGTACAGGAGTATTGCCAACCAAGGGAGCTCACCTGAGCCTTCATGTTAAGATTTTTATGGGAGGTGGGGAGAGTTACATAGGAGTGCAGCTTCCATAGAACTGACAGCACCTGCTTGGACTACAACCACCCCCAGAGGTCAGACTGAATACCGCGTGTCCCACGGCCTCAGGCATACAAAAAACACTGTCAGGCATAATATTCCAAGAGGTTAGAGGTCGTCTCCCTGAAGCCAGTCAAGGGCCAGTATTGAGGACAGCCATCTGTAGGAATGTGCAGGGTTTCAGGAACGTAGACCAGCCAAATAAACTCCTGCTTGCACATTAGTGAATGCATGTTAATTCCCCAAGACCGCATTTAAGTGTCACCTCGTTAGTGAAAATATACCTGATTTCACCGTAAGAAGTTAATTGCTCACATATTTTTGCTTCTACAATTACTTATACTTATTTCCTTTGTAGTTATATTATACTCTGTGTTTCTTGGGAGGTTTTTAACTGAAGCATCTCAAATGTAAAAATATTTATACTTTTTCCCCTTTTCTCCTCCCCATATTGTTTCTTCTTCTGATGGGAAAAATGGTTTTTATGTATGTCCTCTGAGCAAGATCTTTGTATGCATTTTGTATTATAAAAACAGTATTTTGTTTTCAAATATGTATGTGCAGCTGGGATACTGATATTCATACCTTTAAACTTTTCTGCATATTAATGCTTGTTTTCTTTTCCTAAATAAGTATCATTTTTTCCCACTGGAATAATTCAGTGGATTATTTTACTCAGCTCTTAATGTAATGCTTATTTCTTTGGTCTTGTCTGTGACTTATTGAGTGATTAGTTTTCATATAGGCATTGTGCACAATTTTCCTTATTTTTTCCTGAAAAAATATTTCTTAATGTTGTCGTTTTGTATTGTAGTTGGTGTGATACGGTGCCCAGTATGCCGCCAAGAATGCAGACAGATAGACCTTGTGGATAATTATTTTGTGAAAGATACATCTGAAGCTCCTAGCAGTTCTGATGAGAAATCAGAACAGGTATGCTTCTCAATTTCTCTTTATATTTCTATCTTGATATCAAAATGTAAATTATTAGAAAAACATGTTTGGATTGTTACATAAATTAGGCTAGTTCTGTTATAGTTACACCTTTAAGTAGAAAATAAAGAATATCTATTTTACACCCTCTGAGATCTGACTAAATGAGACAAAAGATAATTACGAAAAATTGAAATTGTGTATATATTTTGTGTTCTGAGACTTAGATTTTTATCCACCTGAATGTTTGAACTGGAAGGAAAAGAATTTCATTAAAGATAAATGGATAATAAAATAACTTTATGCTAGGTACAATGAATTAGTGTATTTGAAAGCAAGTTAGAGAGTTTTTGCCTTTTTATTTTGTGGATCTATATTTTGTAAATTTAATGTAGATTAGTGTTTCCTTTTTAGGTATGTACTAGTTGTGAAGACAATGCAAATGCAGTTGGCTTTTGTGTAGAGTGTGGAGAGTGGCTATGTAAGACATGTATTGAAGCACATCAAAGAGTAAAATTCACTAAAGATCACTTGATCAGGAAGAAAGAAGATGTCTCAGGTAAGATAGAAGCAATTTTAATGATTACTATTAATCTCCCTCTTTTGCCCCTATAGCATTTCTGCGTATTCTTTATAAGCTTTGGATACCAGTATCAATAAGAATTTAGAAAGTTAGACAAAAATTTTGTTTAGTTTAAAAATATATGTTTTATTTTACTACAGAGTCTGTTGGAGCATCTGGTCAGCGCCCTGTTTTCTGCCCTGTACACAAACAAGAACAGTTGAAACTTTTCTGTGAAACATGTGATAGACTGACATGTAGAGACTGTCAGCTATTGGAACACAAAGAACATAGGTACAAAAGTCATAATTGCTTATCAAGAAATATTATAAAAAGTTCTTATAAAGTTCTTATTTACTCTTCCTAAAGCAAATATTTATTTCATAATTTTGTTAGCATTTTAATTCTCAATTTTGTATGTTTCTTAAAATATGTTTTTGGTGAATTATTTAATGGTTTCCACATTCATATCTAATAGTTCATGATTTGTTAAAAATGTATTATATATGGATTTGTAGGAATGGAATTGTATTTCTTTGTTCTGCCTTGGTTCAGATACATTTTTTTTTAAGTACTGTGCTATTTAGGCTATGGGCTGTCATCTAAAAAAGTAGTATTGCCATGGGTATGGATAAATGGTACCCATTTTAACATTAAAGCATAAGAATACTGATTTCATGTTAGATACTACAATTTGCAGAAAAACTAGGGATTTATAAGCATCTAAGTAAGCATAGTTATTAATTCTTTAATACATAGCTTAGTATTTCAGCCCTGTTATACCCTCAGAATTCAATAGTATTTACTTATGACCAATCTGTTACATCCTGTTTTAGAAGTGTACTAAAACTTCTAGTCAGTTGTATGACAAAATCCTCTAGTAAATTTCCCGGTTGCTATGTTGTCTATTTATTACAATTAAAAAGATGGTCTTGCTATCCCATACAGCATTTTCTGAAGTGTTTTTCTTACTACAGTTCTGCTGAATTGATGGAAATAGGTTTTATAAATCTCCTGCCATAAAAGAGTAGGTTAAGTTGGATCAACCACACTTAAATCTGTTTCTTAACTGTCAGATGTCTTAGAAATTTTAATTTATTAGATTCATTGGAACTCATTTGGAATTCTCCTAAAGAGGAGGGGATGCTTTAATCCACAGTTTGTGGCACACTTTTCTGAATGCTGCATATTGGTTTAATTCACACCAACTACCCATGTAGTGTTGATACTAGTATCATGACTGTATTGAAGGAGAGGGAGTCTATTCCCACAAAGTTTTAGTAATTTGTACAAGGTCTCCCTGTAAGCGGTAGAGCCAGAATTTGAATACAGGTGGTCAGACTCCAGATCTATTTTAGCTTATATGCTTATTTTCTCCCATATGGTCTATAGAATACAGTATGTGAATACAGTATGTGGAATCCCTCAGTATTGACCATATATAAAAGTAATGTCCTTTGTTCTTTTTCAAGACTGCTCTTATGTTCTATAGGACATTTGTTTAGAAATCTACTTAAGATGTTTATATCCTTAATTTGTTCCAGTATGTTCATCTTACCTGCAGGTTGGCTATTGTTTTACTTGAGGTTACTAATCTTGTGTCTGCCTTTACCTCAGGGCCAAATCTTACCATTGATTGTTTTGTAATAATCTCAGTAAGAGATTACCTTTCTCACAGCTGCAGTCAGGTCTTTGAGAAATCTTAGGTTTCTTATGGCTTTTTAAATTGATGTTGAGAAGCAAAAAGAACAGGAAAGTGACATTCTTTTTCTCATGAAAGAATAGCTTCAGTAGCCCCTCTGTCAAACTTTAACCATGATCCTTTCCCTTTCTTTATCATTTTTCTTACTCACCTATATCCAAGTTCTGATTATCTTTTGAATGTTTTCTCCGTTTTCTTTAGTTCGCACTTTATACATTTCCTCGATAGACTATTGCAGAACCCATGCCATTGGAATTAAAAGCCTAAGTATCTATTACTACACCACATTTATAACTGGTCTCCCTGCTTTGAGGTTTACCTTGTTAAATTCATCCTGTCCACATTGTTGCCAGGGTTATTTTGCTAAGGTGTAGAGTTGCACTCCTCTTTCCCCCTTAATGCACCCTTCAGTGGTCCCCCATGGTCAGAGTTTAAAGTGTTCAATATAGCTTACTTTATTGAGTCTTACCCAGAGTCTTTCTCTTCATCATCTGTATGATGTTAGGAAACAGTCCATAAGACCACCCTCACTTCTGACACCAACTGCAGAGTGCAGTAAAAACCCAAATGGGACGACAGCATTCAGTTCAGCTCATTGATATGTGACTTGCTATTACCTTCTTCAGTTAGACTGGCAGCCTTCCAGACAGAATGCTGCCTTCACCTGGGCACTGCCATCCATAAACGAAGCAGCTCTCTGTTGGTTAACAGAGAGCTGTTCATAGGGCACCACCTGTGTGATCATAGGATTCAGTGGTTCCTCAGGTGGTTCCACAGTCATACTGAAGGGAAAAGAGGCTAGCCATCTGTTCGTAAATACCATAAATACATCTTTGCATCCTCCTGGTCTTATGTTTCTGCACAAACAATTTCTGTTTGTATGGAACTCTTCTGGGCACTGCCTGCCTTATTAGAGTGCTCCTCCATCACCCAAGACATGGATATTTCAGGTTTCAGGGTAATTTTATGTTCTTAAGTCATAGAGTCAGCCTCAGTCAATGCCTCATTTCAAGCCAGTGACTTTTTCTTAAATGGTATATATTCTACCACAGCATCCAGAAATTTTCTGGTCCAAAATCCCAGTGGTTGCTGCTGAGTAACACTCATAGGCTTTTGCCATAAACTCCAGTCTGCACAATCTATGTTGCCGATGCTTCCAAAATCATGTCAGAGTATGGATCATAGGGGCCCAAAAACATCTGGAGAGAGACTACTTTTTGCAATTCAGACATGGCTTGCCCCCAGTCAAATACGACCTTCTTCTGGGTGGTTGTAATGATTAGTACTAGTAATATTACCAGATGTGTAAAATGTGTCCTGAAGATTCAAATATACCAAGCAAATGTTGAACTTCTTGTTTAGTTCTAGAGATGGTTGGCTAAAGCAATTTATTTTTCTTTACCTGTGGAATGTTAAGGGTGGCTTCTGCCTAGGTTATTCCTAAGAATTTCACCAGTTTAGGCAGGTACTTGGACCTTTGCTCGATTGATTAACAGCCTCTGTTAGTCATGTGTGTCGCCATTGCATTTAAGTCAGTCCTACCTGGATAACAATAACCAAGGGATTGTATAATTAGTTTGTTTCCTATTAGTTTGCATTTCCTTATTTATCCAGTGAGTCAGCTCCTAGGGAGTTGGGTCTACCATTTCTAAATTCCATTGGTAGCTTTTATCTCTAGTAACTGTTGTTATATACCATGTGTGACTAGGTGGTAGTTAGGAATCAGTTTTATAAACCCCCATGCCCTTATTCTTCCTATTCCTAAACCACAGGTTTCAGTGAGTCAGAGTCATGTTGGTGAATCCCACTTATGACACCAACTATGAAGTTAGGAAGCAATCCACAAGTACCCCCTTACTTCCGACACCAACTACGGAATTTAGTTGTCAGAAGTGAGGGTGAGTTGCCAGCCTACGAGGCCCACCTGAGCTTTGATGTCCAGAATGTTGATTGGAGCTTTGTCATGTAGACATGGTTCTCTGTCCATGTAACTGACCTATCTCTCTAGCACTTCCTGCGGTTGAGCTGGTAACTCTGTGACCCAGAGTGCCAACTATAAATCACTTCCTTAGCATGTGGTCCAAGGCCCCAGGTAAACAGAAATACTTTTATCAGGCATTACATTTCAGGGGCTTAGAGATGCCCTCTCAGTAGCTGAAGTCAAAGGCCAGACCTTTCTTTGGTCAAGATTAAATTCTTTACTACACAATCTGTTATCTCCTACTTGCACTTCTAAGTAGGAAGCCCCCTGTTTCAAATTTCTCTGCCTTTACAAGTGCAACTTCTTAACTTATAGAACACCTTCCCTATCTGTCAGAACTATCTAACCTTAAAACCAGTTCACTTCTGTGTGTTATCTTTATTAATACTTGCGGTTCCATCTTTCCCACCCCATTCCCTGTATGGACTTTAGGCTTTTTAGGGGTAGTTCTTTAAGGGGCTTAATTTCTCCCGTGCTGCTGATCAGTTCGGATTGCTCACTTCTTGAGTCAGTTATGCAATTGTGATATTTTCTTAGGAACTTGTCTACTTAGTGGAGATTTTAAAATCTCCATACTCGCTTAGAATTAAACAGCATTAAAAATTTGCAAAAATCTGTGATTATATCTTTTTTGTTTATAATGTTGTACAGCCGAGTTTATTTCCTTATTATTTAATAACCTCGCTGTAGAGTTGAGTCTTTTATTCGTCATTTTAGTAATCCACTTCTTTTTTTTCTTTTTTTAATATGTCTTTATTGATTTCAGGGAGAGGAAGGGAGAGAGGGAGAGAGATAGAAACATCAGTGATGAGAGAGTCACTGATCAGCTGCCTTCTGCATGCCCCGTACTGGGGATGGAGCCCGCGACCCGGGCGTGTGCCCTGACCCGGAATAGAACCACCATCTCCTGGATCCTAGGTTGATGCTTAACTGCTGAGTTACGCCGGCCGAGCTAGTGATTTACTTCTTGAAGTCATTCTATTCTTTAAAAGTGTTCTAATTCTCACATTTCTCTCTTCTTTCCTTAGTTTGATTTTTTTTTACTTTTTTTAGATTCTTATACTGACTCTTTATCAAAAAGATGTGAATTTTCCTCTGATTAAAGTTTAGCTTCATTCCATAATCATTTTTGACTTAGTCTATAATTGTATTTTTGCCCCCTCTTTAAAGATAATTGCTACATAGTATAGCAACAAAGGTAATGAAGTGTGTGTGTGTGTGTGTGTGTGTGTGTGTGTGTGTGTGTATCTTTTAAGTGGAGAAAATGTACCAACTTTATGAGGATTTAATGAGAATTGTGCCTGTAAAGTGCTTAGCACAGTAAGTGCTCAGTAACAGTTTACCTATTAGTACTAACATTGTGACCTACTACTTGTTTTCTTTCTTCTGTTTTTTAAAAACGCTTTATTGAGGTCTTTGATTTTCTTTATTGTCTTGTAAGTTCTTAAAAAGTAAGGCAGCATTATAACTTTATAACTTTTTTACCTTAAAACATTACATGGTTTCTAGTTAAACTGGGGTTATCTCTCTTTCCTCTAATAATTTTTCCTCATAGTAAGTGAATAAAAAAGAGTATAGACTTATAAATACCAAGGAGTCACCAATGGAGATTTCAGTTAATTTTTCAAAAGCAGGGAAGTTGATTGAATATTTAGTAAAACCCGTAAGAGACCTAGTTGAGTTAGATTAGCCGCAACCCAAGGATAAAGGAGATAGAAAGGAAACCACTGGGTTTATTGCCTCGAAACTAGTGTAGCTCAGGATTCAGAGGTAATGGGTGTCACAAAAATTGGGCTTATTCTTTGAATAAATAAAACCAAAGGCTCTGGCCTTGGGCATATTAGGTCTAAATGGAGGATGGAGATGAGAGACTTGGCCACACTGGAAAGGTTAAGAGTAAATCTGCACACTAAACTGTGGGACCTTCACTCGCCCCAACCTGCTTCCAGATGACCAATAGTGACCCTTTCCCATTTCGCTGTTTCTCTCTATTTCCCTTTCTGGAAATAGAGGCCTTTCACCCTCTGGACAAAGCGAATGATCAGAAGAGGCCTTTAAGTGTTGACATTTGGAGTTCATTTCTAATTAAAAAGATTGCCTTACAGTGAAGCTCACCAGTTCACAAGTTCTGCTATCTCTCACATGTGATTCTAAGCATTTTAAAAATATATTTAGATATGAATGAAGGGAAGGATCATCTGACATTTGAAGAGAGCCACTGTCATATGTTACATACATTGTGGGACATGATGAGAATTCTCAACTCCTGTCTGTCTTGTCTGGCATCACAGAGAGAGACTGAAAAAGCTTAAGTATTTCCTTTCTCAGCATTCCTGGCATTAGGGTAGCTCTGATCCACAGTTTATGGCCATAAAACATAAGCCCATTTAAAGTCTTCGCTAAATAGAACATCTGGACTATTTTGTGTCAGTTTTTCTTGAGGATATTTTTCTTTGAGTCATACTTTCCTGTTCCTTTGATTGCCTAGTGAGTTTTTATTGAGATTTGGACATTGTGGGTAATATATTATAGAAACTCTGGATTCTCTTATCTTTCTCTGCAGACTCGTAATTGTTGTTCTAGCAGGCAGTTAAATTACTGGTTGATTGATCACCTTGAATTTTGTAACCTTGTTTTTACACTTAGTTAGGGATGATCTGTAGAAAGCCCAAGGTATTTCCCAAGCCTCTAACTTGGTTGGACTCAACTTCTAAGTTCCGTTTCTTGAAAGGTCATATGAAGGCTTGGTTTTAGGCTTTTAGAGCAGGATAGGCCTAGGGTAGCATGCATTTCAACACTATAGTTCTTTTCCTGTAAGGTGTGGCCTTTCCGATTTCTTCAGTAGATGCCTGGGAGGTGAACAGAGTCCCTTCCTCCACTGGCTCAGCTGGAATTCTGTCTGCCAGAACTGCTTGACCTCCAGGTTTTTCTTCCATGGTCAACTTTAAAGCAGCTGCATAATTTCATCCTGTGCATGTACGGCCCAAACATTGCATATGGACTTGGAAGGGATTCACTTATTCTGTATCTTCCTTTCCCCTTCTCCCACCACTCCTCAGCCTCACCCTGCACAGCCCCTTCTCTTCCAGTACCCTGTTCCATGGATTCCAGGAGCTCGGTAGTCTCAAACCTTGATTTCTGCCTCCTCAGCTCCAAGAAACTTCTAAAAAATTATGTTTGTATTGATTTCAGAGAGAGGAAGGGAGAGATAGAAACATCAGTGATGGAGAGAGTCATTGATCAGCTGCCTCCTGCACACCCCTTACTGGGGATTGAGCCCGGGCATGTGCCCTGACTGGGAATCAAACCGTGATCTCCTGGTTCATGGGTTGACTCTCAACCACTGAGCCACTCTGGCTGGGCTCAAAGAAACTGTTGTGCTCTGCGTGGTCTCCAGTTCTCTGTGCCAGTTATTATGAAATTGTCTACAGACAGAGAGAGAGGTAGGGTGATTGTGATCCTCTCTGAAGGACCACAGAATTTCTTTGAAAAATGCGTTTGGCACAGGTTCTCCAATGACTGAATACATTTGCCTTGTATATTTCTGTCTCGTTTTATAGTTTTTGGTACCAGGGCTAGTCTGGTACCCATTACTCTGTCATGACTGAGAGTGAGTTTCCTTTGTTTCACCTTAATATTTTTATCCCCTATTGCATATAGAGAAGGGTTATTTGTAGATTATTTTTACAAATAATAGTTGTGTATATAGTTAGAGAAGGGTTATTTGTAGATTATTTTTGAGCATCAATATGGTTTAAGAGGGGGTGGTTGCTTAAAACCTAATACTAGGCATCTTTATTAAAGAATAAGATGGTTTATTATGGTGGTCCTTTGAATGGGACTGTGTAAGTAACATTTCTTCTAAAGAAACAGCTTTTCTTGGAATTAGGCCTTTAACTTAAGAAATGGACAGATGAATGAATATCTACATAGATAAGCTTTAAAGCAGATAATTTCACTCCTAGATTTATATTAGAACTATCTAGAAAGCTTTAAAGAATACTGATGCCTTAGTGCTACTCCAGACTGGTTAATAAGAATCTTAAATTACATTTTGGGTCAAAATCTTTTTACGGTATTTTAAGAATAATGGTAAATCACCCTAGGTGGTTTTAGTTTTTCAGTGAAAGTTGAGAACCACTACTTTTAAGAAGAACCTTTGCCAAACTCATTTTTGTCTTTTTCTGTAAGTTCTTCTAAAGTTAAAAACAGCTTTTTAGATGAGATCCAGATAGTTGGTAGAAATGACACATTCATATCTGCTATTAGTCCTTTCAGAGCTAGATTGAGAGGTATGGTGACAAATTGAGGTTTCCTATCCAAGCTGATTGGTAGTTGAAAGTTGCTATTGACAACATATGTGTGGATAGCATAGAATGCCAATCATTTAAGTAAGGTTTCAAGATTTACCTATGCAGCTGTTTTTCATTTCCAAAATCTTAATAATAAATTTTTGTTTTCAATGGAGTTTTGTTTTTTGTTTTAAGGTACCAGTTTTTGGAAGAAGCTTTTCAAAACCAGAAAGGTACAATTGAGAATCTGCTGGCTAAGCTGCTTGAGAAGAAGAATTATGTTCATTTCGCAGCCACTCAGGTGCAGAATAGGTGAGTGTGCGCCTCAAAACCGTAATTTACTTCCAGGTCGTTAAATACAGTGGCTCCAGCTTCAATGTTTAAAAATTTATATTAGTATGAAGCATATTAAAAAATATTATTTTTTAGAGGGGTAAATGGTTATAAGTTTGAGTTTGGAGTGTAGTATTTGTTAATTAAGTAAACTTTAATTGACCAAAATTTTGAATAGTCTTTCAGGATACATTTTTGACTATTTTGTAATTAATAAGACTTAGTTAAATGTGAAAAATGCAATTAATATATGGGGAGTTAAATTTAAAATAATCCTCATCTGAGGATATGTTTTTATTGATTTTTAGAGAGAGAGAGTGGGGGGAGAGATAGGTAGGAGAGGGGGAGAGAGAAGAGTCATGTGAGAGAGAAACATCAATTGGTTGCCTCCCTTATGCGCCCCTACCAGGGATTTAACCGGCACCTTGGTATGTACCCCGACTGGGAATTCGAACTCTCAACCTTTTCGTATACGGGACAATGCTCCAAACAGCAGAGCCATCCGGCCAGGCCAGGGCTGAATTATAAAATTTAACTAGAGACTGTGGAACACACAGGAGAGAGAATATGAAGAGGGGTGGACAAATTTATCATCTGTAAAACAATCATTAAAGACAGTACTTCTCTTAGTAGTAGTAGTATAAAATGAATATATAGCACAATTTCTGGCACAGAGTAAACTCGCACATTTTAACTGTTGCTATTTATCAGTAATACCATCAGTATTAAAAATTTCTATTTTGGTTTATTTCTGAATAAACCAAATTTATTGATAGGCAAGTGGGACTAAGCTTCATAAGTGAATAGATTAACAAAATGAGGGCCCTTAATGTAGGAAGACTAACACTTGGAGCTGGCATAATGAAAACTCATATATTCCTGGATTTATGAATAGGATTGGTAGGTGTTTATTCTTCAGTCACAGATGTAGAACTTTTAGGTACTTTCAGAATATTAAAATTAATTTATGATTATTTAAAACAGCACCTAGTAGATACTGAAAAATTATTAAACAGATGAGTGAATGAATGAATGATACATTGTATGTTAGAAAATAGTTAACTAGGTGGTACAATTCTCATCTTTAGAATTTGCAGTTATATGTAAATACAAACACACACTAATCATGGATGGTTAGTTTGTATGGATATGTCAGGATGTTTTGGATATGCTGATGTGTTGTGGGTTATGTTGGAGATGATAACTGTCTTCTCATAAGTTACAGATGGATGTCCTTTTCAGAGAAAGGATAGTGAGTTGATTCACATGGCAGTCTCATATTTTTGTCTATATGTTTTGTACATATTTTGAATTTTTGTACATATTTTGTATATATGTTTCTGAATCTGTGTAGAGAAGTAGAACAAGAAGTTTATGTTTTATAAGATTGGAAAGGGTTGGGAAGATTGATGATTTCATCTTCAAAAACCTTTTAAAAAAAGCTATTAATGATGCTTCTCTGTTTAGACATGTTTTTTGATGACCTGTCTCCATTTTTTTAATGTACATTCATTTTTTTCTTCCTTCACAATTGAACATATAGTATACATGCTTAAATCCAATGAGAGTCTGACTATGGCTAACTGCTCTCTGCTTTCAGCATGCTTAATGATTTTAATCTTTGGCAAGATCATTTTAAGTTTGAGTCCCATATGTCTTATCATTAGTAATCAATACTCCCATTAAAAACAAAAAGTTTTCCACTGACTTTAAGGACAGAATTGAATAAAATTTTTAAGTAAGTGCCCAAACAAGCACTGATATACAGACAAAGGAGGGAAAACTATGCTATTGTGATTAAGTGTATTAAAGTTATTCAAATTTGAATTTGGCAAATGAAGGTCAGTGTAGAAGTTGAAAATGTGGGTTATAGTTTGTCTAGAAGTAGAGTTTATAAAAGTTAAATGCTTCCTTCTTATGGTTGTTTAACATTTTACTTATTTATATTGGTGGGATTTCCCCCTTTTTATTTTATTTATAAAATATGAACCAAAACTTTTCTAACCACAATGGGAGCTTATACCTGTTTCTAGAACATCTGACAGCTATGTTAAAAGAATGGATTGAAAATACTTAATGCTTTTAACTGTATATAGTAAGAAACCATTTTGAGAAGATCTGTGAAAGGGGAGTGTATTAGAACCCATATTTGAAGTGATTAAGTTATAAGTGAAAATTAATGCTTCTGAGCTTAACTCCTACTATTTGGAAAGATAATTATTGGTTGCAACATTGTTTTTTTGCACATTGTTCTTGAAAATCATTTAGAGGAAATAGAGCCAGTGTGCCAGGTTTGGTACTAACCAGCAACCACTGATGTCAGGAATTTGTATGTCACATACACGTCATAGGAACTAAAGGAGATTACCATCTAGATAGATTCATAAACTGGCCTTTTTGAATTTAATTTAAAATGACTGAATATTTAATCCATTCTTTGTCCATATACATCACTCTTTTGGACCAAATTGAATGGTCAGGTCTGCTGAAACATAAGTAGTACATTTTGACAAAGGTTTCATTTTAATCGCTCGGTTAAGTGCCCAGTTGGATGAATTTCTGTAACAGTTGATGATTTAGAGATAAATTGATAACCTAATGATGCATTTCTCTTATTCAGGATAAAAGAAGTAAATGAGACTAACAAACGAGTAGAACAGGAAATAAAAGTGGCCATTTTCACCCTTATCAATGAAATTAATAAGAAAGGAAAATCTCTCTTACAGCAGCTAGAGGTATGGTTCAAAACCAAAATCAAACAAAAACTGCTTCTGTTGCTCTTTAGCTGTTTTTTAATGTTTATTGAAAGGTCTTTTAGATTGGTTGGGGGATACGGAAGTAAACTAAAAAAAAATTTTTTTTTTAATGTTCTATTGGAAAATAGACCTTTTTTTGAGTTAGTTACTTTGCACCACAATTTAATACCACTGATTTTAGCTCTGTAATTTAGAAGAGAGTGTTGTCTTAGGAATGAAAGAATGATTACTAAAATGTGATGTAAGTGAAGACAAGGCTAACCCATCACATTGTGCCCTCCCCCCCAGATTCTCAATTTAACTTTTACATTCATATGAATGTATGTTGGGAGTCTACTTGAGTCATTTGTGTGTTTCACTTTATTTGAAAAATATTCCATAGTTTTGCAAAAAGTGCTGCTCATTTTGAAATTTGTAAACTTTAAACTTTAGTTCTGCTATATTAGGTCTTTGTTTTACAAATTTGAGATTAATATGTAGATGTAAATTTCTAGATTCGAATTCAATTTGTGAAACCCAAATTAAGCTTTAATCAAAGACTCATCTCTACTGACCACAGTTCATTGGTTCTCAAAATTTTGTGCTCTTAAGTAGGCTTAGTTGATACGGGGTTATATTTTCTGTACTATTGAGTAGTAACAGTTTAAGCTACGTATTTTTGATTGCTTAATAACTTCATTACTATTAACCTCAAATTTTCCATAGTAGATTTTCTTTGTTCAATTTCCTCGTAGAGCACTTAGAAATATTAGACACATAATTACATCCAAATGAAAGAAATTATGTCAGCATAGTGTTATTTCTGAATTTCATCTTTCCATTGAAATACATTGACAAAAGTACTCTAACACCTCTTGTTAGAGTTGATGGTCTCTTTCCTGTTACACATCCAGCCAGTTGCACTTAACCCTGATAAATTTTTGTTTTCAAAAGGACCACATAACTAGAGAGAGCACTGAGCGTGCAGTGATTTTTGATATCTTTTAACTTACTGTAAATACATTTTAAGTATAGGTCTAAAATAATGTTTTTAAACCATTTTAAGAACTTTGGAATGAGAAGGTACCTCTTAATGCTAAAATATACATAAATACTTAATGCTAATCTGCTACGCATTCCTAACACGCTGATAATTTAAACAGAAGATGTTTTCTAGTGTAATATGTTCCCAAACTTTGTAAAATAGAGGTTTTCCTAAGTTTTATAAGAGGGATGATTTCCAGGGAAATTGTCGGACTTCTTTCAGCTAAATACTGTTATTCATTGATTTACATTATAAAATGAGCAACTTGTTTTCTTAGGGGGAAAAATTGTCCAGTTAACCAAGTTGAGTCATTTTTTGTAAAAAAAAATGGTTAATAGCGAAGTAGATAGGTTGTTTGGTGTGCTGAATGTCAGAGTACATGGGATATCACCTGGGAGTTTTATTCCCAAAAAGCAGTTTATTTTTCCTTTGCAGCATTTCTTCCAAATTAGTCTTTCCTTCAATCCTCACTACTCACTCACTGTTTATGAACTTTCGTCAGATCAAAACTTTCCCTAACCTCTGCTCTTAGAGCTGTGGAATTCATCCTTCTCGTTTTGTCTGAGTATTTTAAGAGAAGAGATTTGAACATCAGCTTCATGCCATACCAGTAGGTGGCACTGGTAACAGAAAGTTTTCTTTGGCCTGAAAAGTATAGTAAGTTAAGATTATGTAATATTATTTCTAAAGGTCAACTCATTATGCTATAGACTTCGTGTAATGTATTAGCCCAGTGATTTTCAACCTTTTTCAGCTATGGCACATATACTAATTACTAAAATTCTGCAGCACATCAGAAAATACATTTTTTACTGATATGACCAAAAAGATATATATATAATTGTGATTGATCACGCCGCATGGCTGTTGTGTTGGCTGCTGTTATTTTTTTATTTGACAGCCTAAGGGAAAAGAGGTCAGTGCCCCTGACTAAATAGTCAGGTATCGCATGTTTTAAAAATTCTCATGGCACATCAGTTTTCAACTGTGGCACACCGGTTGAAAATTTACGGATTAGCCTAATAGAAAAAGACACTATATTTAGCAAAGACATATCATCTTTTGAAGGATAAAAGAGATATATAAGTAACAATTTCTCTAGAGAATTAAGTTTTAGACCCACTTCTGTGAGTGTCTTTTCTTTTTATCATAGACTCATTGAATAATCAGGAGCTTGTTAACATTTAAAAAAAGAAATATAGGTATTGTGTTCATTATAAGTAGAAATAATGTCTTGGTACTTTTTATATAGAATTCTTCGGTGAACCTCCTCTCTTGTTCTGTTTCAGAATGTTACAAAAGAAAGACAGATGAAGTTAATACAGCAGCAGAATGACATCTCAGGCCTCTCCCGGCAGGTGAAGCATGTTATGAACTTTACAAACTGGGCAATTGCGAGTGGCAGCAGCACAGCCCTGCTGTACAGCAAGAGACTGGTGAGACACACAGCGCCTTCATTTTCCTTCAGTCAACTTTATTACACATTCAGGGAACTGAACCTGTTTCAAATGTAGATTTTTGATTTTGGCAAATGTATTCACCACCACATTAAGATATAGAAAATCTCCATCACCCACTAAAGTTTCCTTGTTCCCCTCTACCCCCGACCCTAGGCATCTATTAGTCTGATTTCTGTCTTCTCTTGAATTTCATATAAGTGGAATCATACAGTATTCTGTTTTGAAGATACCTTATATTGTAATGCAGTTTATCATCAGAAACGGCAGAAATGCAAGCATGTGCATTTGATTGCTAATATAGGTAGTCTTCTACACACTGATACTGTTTCATTTGAGACTGACACTGTGGGGCTACATGAGTTTTTATGTCTTTATCTTATATGTTTTTTCAAGTGATATTTAATATTAAGACTAATGTGAATTTTTTTCCTTCAAGATTACTTTTCAGTTGCGCCATATTTTGAAAGCTCGTTGTGATCCTGTCCCTGCTGCTAATGGAGCAATACGGTTCCATTGTGATCCCACCTTCTGGGCAAAGAATGTAGTCAATTTAGGTGAGAAATAATTAGTTTTATGAATCTAACTTGGAATACTGAATTAGGAGGAAGCATCTAAAGCAAATTTTAGATACTGAAAGTTTTTTAACGTCACTGTAACACATAAACTTCTTGGAAAATATGTTTTTCATTGGAAACTCACTTAAACTGTGTTCATTACATCTTTAAGAATGTTGAGTCTCCTGTATAGGTTTTAAAAATGTGTATCATTTTTAACATTTCCCCACATCTTTTAAATTGACATTGACTGTTTCATATTGAAACTTAGCAAATGGGTCTTCATTCTCTGGAAGAATTTGTTAGATGCTTAGTAGTTTGTATATTAATTGTACCAAATTTTCCTGTAGAAGAGGATGTCCTGGATGCTGATGTGTCTGAAAGTTGGGTCCTGAGGAATGTTTGAAAGATAAGAGTAGCTCTTTTCACATGGAAGAGAAATGGACTTTGGTTTTGTTACTCCACAGTGTGGACCTCAGAAACATAGGTGAAAGTTACAGAGGGACAGATCAATATCTCAGTTTAAAACAAGGCAAAACCCAAAACACTTTTCCAATAATTAGAGCTGTGTACAGACTGAGTAAACTTACTTTTAAAATAGTCAAATCCTTACCATTGGAAGCTGTCAAAGCAGAGGTAGATGGCCTTCTATAAAAAAGTAATCTTTGTTTATATTCAGATTTGGCTATAGCCTTAGATCAGGCACCAGCAAACTGTTTTTGTGTGGTATGGTAGCTAAGTTTGTTTTTTACATTTTAAAGGGCTGTAAAAACAAATAATATATCACCGTTCTTATGAAGCCTAAAATATCTGGCTTGTTATAGGAAATGTTTGCCAACTCCACCTTAGATCAAACTTTCCTAAAATTTGCTTTCTATTTTTAGAAAGTAATGGACTCTATGAGAAGTAAGGAAAATTGCCATTTCTAAGGACATTAGTGGTTTAAAACATTCAGTATTTCTATAGAAGACAGTTTTGTAGCAATGCAGTACTGTGCCCTGTACATTTTGGAAATTCAAAGGCAGGTGGAATCAGCAATAGTAATCTTGATTATTCTTGAATCTTGTCAGAGGAGAATTGATTTAGACTAACTAGATCGACCTCCTCTAATCACATCTCTTTCAGCTCTTTAATTTTCTGTACATCTATGTAAATAAAGCATAAGGGCAGATAATATATTCTGAATAATCACAAGTCGATTATTTGACTTTGGACTATGTTAGGTTTCTGATCTTTATCATCTTGAAACCTAGCTCCCATCCCTTCTGTACTGTTGGAAGCTTTGACTGCTGAGAGTTGTCAGAGGAAAGAGGAAAAGATAGTGATTAATCCACAAAGTAGATAATTTATTTGATTATATGCAAATTACTCTCATTTTTTAAATCCTTTAGGTAATCTAGTAATAGAGAGTAAACCAGCTCCTGGGTATACTCCTAATGTTGTAGTTGGGCAAGTTCCTCCAGGGACAAACCACATTAGTAAAACTCCGGGACAGATTAACTTGGCGCAGCTTCGGCTCCAGCACATGCAACAGCAAGTGTACGCACAGAAGCACCAGCAGCTGCAGCAGATGAGGATGCAGCAGCCGCCGGCTCCTGTGCCCACGACGACAGCCGCGACGCAGCAGCACCCACGCCAGGCGGCCCCGCAGATGTTACAGCAGCAGGTGAGCGTTACATCGCTACATGGCTGATGTAAATCGTGAGGACCTCAAGACTGCACTCTGTCCTCTATAGATGAGTTAAACATTTCACTGTGACTAGCAGGGAAAGAGCTAGAAGGTCAGAGTTTAAATATTTGTTCCGGGTATTGCAGGGATTTGGGGAAGTGTGAGGAAGGGCAGTAAGTAAATAATATGGGAAACAAAATTAATTCACTAGTACACAAGTTTTTATTTCTCCATACCAGATCTTTATTTTGCACATGTGATTTTGGGCCAAAGAGCCAGATTATTTTTGCCAAATATCTGATATATTCTTAAAGCATGTGTTCAAATCATTCCCATCCCTGTCCCTCGCCTGTTCTCCCTTCCCTCATCCAAATCAGAGCTGTTAATTCTGGGCTGGATAAGTTAATGTTTTAAATACACACATGTACTGAGAGAAGGGGTTTGGGGCTAGAGATGAGGAGAATGACTCATACCTTTTACTTTGTGCCTTTCTGTATCCTGACTGTACCTGTAACATTTTATGATTAGAAATAAATTTATAAAAGATATTATTTTATAAATGCAATTTCTACCCTTTGTAGCCTCCAAGATTGATCAGTGTGCAAACAATGCAAAGAAACAACATGAATTGTGGAGCTTTCCAAGCCCATCAGATGAGATTGGCTCAGAATGCTGCCCGAATACCAGGGGTGCCCAGGCACAGCGGCCCTCAGTACTCCATGATGCAGCCACACCTCCAAAGACAAGTATGCCTAGAGTTACATTTGTAAGAGTCACACCATTTTAAAACTAAGACACACTTTTTCTTAATCACTTGCTGGGGGTAGGGTCACTGATAACTTTGGGAATGAATAGACTTAAAATTTTGTGTTCAATTAAGAGCTTCTTCGGTGCCATTAAACCCTTTATATATTGTGGGTTGAGGACCCCTGATCTAGTCCAGCCAGTTCATTTTACAGAACTAGGTAACAGAGGAGCTTATTTACCAACAGTCACAAGAGAGAATGGTAAAACCAAGATTAGAACCATAGTTTCTTGAAATTGTTCCTTGGCTCTTTTATTTATTTTTAAAAATATATTTTATTGATTTGAGAGAGAGAGAGAAACATCAGTGATGAGAGTCATTGATCAGCTGCTCCTGCACACCCCCTGCTGGGGATCGAGCCCGAAACCTGGGCATGTGCCCTGACTGGGAATCAAACTGAGATCTCCTGGATCCTAGGTCGATGCTCAACTGCTGAGCCACGCTGGCCAGGCCCTCTGCTCTTTTAATGTGACATTTTGAACTTGATACATAAAAAGGACTTTGAAAACAAAACTATGCTCTTTATTTTATTTATTTTATTTTTACTTGCTTCTTTCTACTTAGTGTTCTTTTTATGATATATATATATATATATGCCTGCCCTTAAAAATAAATGTATTTAGAGGCATGTTTTCTAGTCTTTGCCTGAATAGTAGATTATCTTTGTATTGGAGGCATGATTTTAAAATGAATCTACTTCGACATAGGATTTCTAGTTATAAAATAATGTGGTTCATTTTATAACAGTTGGAGTGATGTTTCTTTTAAAGACATCTTTAAAGACCATCAGAATGACTGGGAGGCCTTGTCAGAAATAGATGCTGAACCATATCCACTGAATCAGAATTTCTAGGAGAGGGTACTCAGAAATGTGTAGACCCTTACTCTCTCAGATCAATCTACATACCATAGTAGACAAATAATGCCCTGGAGTAGTGGGTCTTCAGCTTTTTGGCCCAAGTACTTCTGGAAAGGCTTTTGAAAAATATGCGTTCCCTCATTTAAAGACTGACATTTAAAAGTTCTATTATAAGTTTAAGTAGTTGCAAAGGACATAATATCTGGCATCTTGTAAATACTGACATTATAAAGTAAAACCCTTACATTTTATTCTGGTAAATGAATCCACTGGTGTTCAAAATACCATGGCAAGCTCCTTTTTGAAAGTCAGAATTTCACACTCCCTTTTCCCCTGAGACTTGAATATCTTTCTTCTACTACTTTCTCTGTAGCATTTTATCATAAAAAGATGTGTATTTATGTTAGACAAAATTATAAATCAGTCTACTGCAATTTTTCTGTGGGAAAAAAAGTTTGTTTTAATTTAAAAATTCTTAAATTTTCAGTGACAGTAAGGCTATTATTAAACTTTAAAACCTTTTTTTGGACCAGATTTGTATTACAATAATTCCTATACAGTTGTTTAAACAGCATACTTATTTACATGTTTTAAGACTATTAGGAAACATAAAGGGTGAAATTCTTTTAGATCTACATTTCCTTATGAGATAAATGGAGTCTTTTTCTCTTTTCAACTATATATGTTTGTATACTTATTGTTAGAGTAAGTCAGAATTCACATCAGTTTTTATTATTAGCTTATTTTTTTGTTTTTTGTTTTCATGTGAAGCTCGGGAAATGTTCACAAAAATATGTGTCTGGGAATTAGAAGAATTTTCCTTAATTCTTTGAGCACTTTCTAAGTTATCAAAGCTGAGTCTCACAATGAGCTATCAAAACTTTTAACAATCTTATCAGTTGACAGCTTTTCAGGTCTTTCTTGATTTTTGTTGCTCATCAAATATCAGAAACCACTTAAAGATTTGTTACACAGGTTTTGGAGCCAGGCACTTTATCAACAACGTGACAGCTTTTGTACCTTTGCTTGTTTCTCATGTTGTTTTATTTCTTTGTTACCCTGGGGCAATGTGCTAGATAAGATTAGGAGTGGGTCAGAGGTTTGCTCTTTTTTTTTTGTGGAGAAGGGGAATTGCGAAAGAAGTAGTGAAAAAAGAACCTGTAGACTACAGCACATTCTTAGGTAAATTGGGCTTTCTTTAGAAAAAAGTACATATGAAGGTTAAGGATCTGGGCATTGATTTCCTTAGAAGTGTTCACATATCCACATACCCCTTACAAAGCCTTCAGGTATTAGTAGGGGGCCAGGTACACCCTTTGGAAGAGTGCGGAAGCTACAGAATTAGACTAACCAACTGTCTAAGAATAGTGCCCTTATACTTTAGGGTCCGTACAGAAATCCCTGAATGTTAGAATTTAAAATTTTTCAATATTTCAAATGATTTATATGTGTATAGTAATTTATTTCCCAAAGATTTCTGTCTATATTATCTTAAACGGTCCTCATAACAGCCCTCACGATGAGACACATAATCATTTTTGTTCATCATTATCCACGTCTCTAAATTACTGAGATGATGTCGCACGCATTAGAGTTAGGAATTGATGTCATATTTCTGTTTGTAGATCCGTTGTTTCCATATCAATTATACAATACACAATTACACAACTACTTTTTAAAAAGATAAAAGAGTCAAAGGGGAATGTAGATAAAACTGGGTTTCAGGAAATTCTGTTTGAAAACTTGGGGGCTTCCAGATCATCTACCTAATGCATCTTTGTTCTGAAGGAGATCACGTCATGAGGCTGACAGGTTGAGAATTATTGCCTAGTCTGTTTTTTCCTAAATACTACACAGAAATGAAGAGAAAAATGAAAAGGCTAGGTTGGAATTATTGTTCTTCTGTATAAGTTTGAGAGGGCTTACTTCTTTGTTTCTCAACCACAGGTATCAGACTCTTAACTTGAGTATCCTTCCTTAAATTAAAAATCATTGTCAAAGTATATTCATATTAGGATATCTTGGCTGATTAAGTAATGATAGCATCTTCTTTCCTAACAGCACTCAAACCCAGGACATGCTGGACCCTTTCCTGTTGTGTCAGTCCACAACACCACAATCAATCCCACCAGCCCTACTACAGCTACTATGGCAAGTGCAAATCGAGGTCCCACCAGCCCATCTGTTACAGCAATAGAGCTAATACCCTCAGTTACCAATCCAGAAAACCTTCCATCGCTGCCAGATATTCCACCCATACAGGTTTGTATTTAAGTTGAATGAAAGATTTAAAACCTTGTCTTAATTAGGGACTTCGAGTATATTTTTCTGGTGGTGGTTTTTAAATTTAGGCAAAACTTTTTTTTGAAATTTTCAGAGTAGAATATATTTGAATTTTTAAAAGTTACATGTACTAAAACTAGCACTCTTCAATGTAACTCCAATATTGTTTCAAAATCACTAATTCATAGTAAATTCTTTTAATCTGATTGCTTCCCTGATGTTAGGAGAGGTATTTTTTAAATTGTACTAATGAAATTAATAACTTCTCTGTTTAATCAAAGCAAGTTTATCTTTTTGTTTTTTTCTCTTTAGTTGGAAGATGCTGGTTCAAGTAGTTTAGATAATCTACTAAGTAGATACATCTCAGGCAGTCACCTACCCCCACAGCCTACAAGTACCATGAATCCCTCTCCAGGTCCCTCTGCTCTCTCTCCAGGATCATCAGGTAAAACCAACTGAGGTACTGCCTCATTTCTTTAACATTTTGCAAAAAGTATCTCAGTATATGTATTAGTCAAGGTTCTTCAGAAAAATAAAATCAGTGGGAGATGTGTGTACATGTAAAGGGAGAGAGAGAGAGAGATGTTAAGGAATAGCTCATGTGATTGTTAGGGCTGGCAGGTCTGAAATCTGCAGGGCAGGTTGCCCAGCTGGAGACCCAGGGAAGAACTGATGTTGCAGCCTTGAGTGTAGAGGCAAAATTCTTCATCTGGTGATCCCAGTCTTTTCTCTTAAGGTCTTCAAGCTCATTGGATAAGGCCCATGCACATTATGGAGGTTGATCTCTTTTACTCAAAATCTGCTGATTTAGGTGTTAATCACATCTAAAAAATACCCTCATAACATTTAGACTGGTGTTTGGAAAAACAGCTCAGTACTGTATTCTAGCCAAGTTGACACACAAAATTAACAATATCATAACATACCATATTTTCCTGATTGCTATTTCTAATTATTTTTCTTCAAATACTTTAGGCATTCTTCAGTTAACTGAAGTAATATTGGTTTATATCTGCAGTGTACCCTGTTCAGAACTCCATTGTACCCCTCCCTGCACCCCCAGCTCTAGTCATGTTTCTTGCTGGATTTGTAGTTACATTTACTTTCCATGTCTTATATTTTATGATGTAGATCATCAGTTGAAGAGTTCTTTGCTTTCAACTCAAGTTTAAAACACTTTGTAAAATAACGGAAAGTGGAAAAATTGTTTTTTAAAAAAAGAGTTGAGGAAAGGCAAGTGAATTTTCAAATTGTAATTTTAAAACAAAAACTTAAATTTATTGGAAACGTAAAATGTGACCATTTAAATCCAGAGATGTAGCTCTCTTCCAAAACCCAGTTTTATTGACCTTCTTACCATGAATGAATGATTAAAGCAGTTCCCCACAGATTGATGGTGCAGAGTGGTTATGGAATATATTTTTCTAGTATAAACTCTTGTTATTTTTCCTACTGAAACAGACCACCGCATTGTTTCCAGAGTAAGCATAGTTCAGATTTAAATGTGGGTTTTGCATGACATGCATCATTAATACGTTGTTTTGCGCTGTATAAGTTTTGAGGTTTAATGTAATTATTCTAGGACTCTAAAAGAAAGAATAAATAATAGGAATCTAAGTAGCATATATCCCAGATGACTTGGGGCAAGATGGCAAATAACTTTCTCTTGATCTGCTTAGTCTTCATTGGTCAGATAGTATTGCTATGAGGAGGATTCTGAAAATGTTGCTCAGCTGAGAGGAACTGGTTGAGGTCTGCCCATGACTACAAATGCCATACTGGACTTCAAGGCAAAGCCTAAGTCTGATTTCCAAGAATTGCTAAATTACAATTAAAAAGTATATATATTGATTGATTTAGATGGAGAGAGGAAGGGAGTGGGGGAGGGAGGCAGAGAGAGAGAGAGAGAGAGAGATTTGTTGTTCCACGTATTTATGCATTCATTGGTTGACTCTTTTCTGTGCCCTGACCGGGATCGAACCGGCAACCTTGGCATATGGGGACAATGTTCTAACCAACTGAGCTACTGGGCCAGGACAGCTAAATTGCATTATGATCATCTTGAATTCTGTAGCTAGTAGGTAGAATTCTGAGTATTCTTATCTGGGTTGATATTCATTTTGACTTCTTATTTGCAGGTTTATCCAATTCTCACACCCCTGTGAGACCGCCTAGTACGTCTAGTACTGGCAGTCGAGGCAGGTGAGTATTACATTATTAATAGCTGTATTATTATTTTTTTTTTTTAAGAAATATTTTAAATACATATTTTAAAAAGTGGAATATATAGTGAACTCATATACTTACAACCCAGCTTCAACAATTAATTACCAAGTTATGGCCAGTCTTTTTTTTTTAAAATATGTTTTTATTGATTTGAGAGAGAGAGAAACATCAATGTGAGAGAGAAATATCAATCGGCTGCCTCTTGCATGCCGCCTACTGGGGATTGAGCCTACAACCCAGGCATGTGCCCTGATGGGAAATCAAACTGGTCCAGTGCTCAACCGACTGAGCCACACCGGCCAGGGCTTTGGCCAGTCTTAATTCTTCTGTACTCTCACTCATTCCCTCTTGGTCGGGATTATTTGAAACAAATCTTGGACATCTTAATTACTTGTGACTGTTTCAGAATATATCATTTAAAAGATAAGGATTTACAAATTTTGTAGCCACAGAACTATTATCACCTAGGAAAAATTTAACAGATAATTCTTTAATATCAGAAGAGACCCATTTAATGTTCAGATTTCCCAATTTTTCCATAAATGCCTTTTTTTAAGAAAAGGATTCTTTGAAGCAGATTCAGATAAGCTCTCTACTTTGCCATCAGTAGGTATGTTGAAGTCAGAATCGGTGTATTTGAGGAAGTATTTCTTCTTCAGCGTTTCCCCCATTTTGTCATTTGAATGCACTGCCTGCTGTTTTCTCTGTATTAGTATTTAAGTCAGAAGGTTTGATCAGATTCAGGGTCGATTTGGGGGAAAGGGTAGTGGTGCTGTGTACTTCCATGAGTGGCACATAATGTCTGGTTGGTTTTTGTTTGTTTGTTTTGTGATAGCAACCATTAATGATCATCTGAGTTTTTTTTTTTTTACTGGTTGAAAAATGTAAATTATTGTATTATTCCTTCTTTGCTTATTATTTCAAACTATTTCTGTAAGAGAAACTTTTTTCATCAACAATTTGGGTATAGGAAAGGCTTAGTGAATCAGTTCATTCTCTTTATTTACCTATTGAGTTGATTTCCCAGCACCCTCCAAGAGTGACCAGTGAGTTTTATTATTTTTAACTTTATGAACTCATATATTTAAATAAACATTTTATATTTTCCAAACCATTATAGGTGTTATTTTTATTGATGCTTAAAGTTTTCTATCTTTGGCCTGACAGAGCTTTTTAAAGTTGGCCCTTCCTTTTTTTTGCTATAACCCTAGCAGCTTCCTTGTTTGTTATGAAATGATGTTCCAGGTTCATCTTGTACATTTCCTGCCTTTGACTTGGAATCAGCCATTTCTCTTAAGAAATCTGGTCATGTTAGTGAGGAAATGGTGCTTGGAGACAGTCTTCTAGGTACTAGGGATACTCATTACAACTGAATTGTTCATTGTTTCTTATGCCTTTTTGTGGACAGAACTAAGAAATGGGAGTGGGTGGGGGAGAGTGTGTTTTAAGATAAAACACAATAATATTGACTGATTTTTTCTCTTTAGTTTAAATAGTTTAGTGTAATGCAAGAAAGATTCATGATGAATTTTTGTATGTGTGTGTGCACATGCATTTTGAAGACTGGTCCTTTTAAACACTTGCTTGACTTTTTAATTATATTATTAAATTAATAATCGGTGCTTTTAGAAGAAAGTATAAATTGAGTGAAAAAAAAGTGTTCATTCTTAGAAGTAATACAGTCTTACCAGTTATTCACTTCTCTGCCAGTGGTTTTGCTTCATGGTCTAGATGAACTGATTAGTCATGTATCATTACATTAATTTCAAATAAGGACATTCTAGGTTGTTTACTGTTTGTTATCCTCTTTTCCCAAACCCCACCCTCAAAAACTAAATTAGCAATTCCTTTGAGAGGATTCATGACCCACTGTTGATGTTATTTGCTTCAGATGTTTGGGGGTAGAGAAGAATTGAAACTACATCTATAGAGGGAAGGGAAAATGATTGTTTACTAGACTTCTTACGTGATTTAGTGTAAGTGCCTCAGACCATAATGTGTTTTAAGGCCTTCTGAAAGTTTCGTCTACATTTTTAAGAATTGGAAGCTAAGTTTATACCACACTCCTCTTAACAACATTATGAAGTGTCCTTATCATCTTAAAGTTAATAAATTGTCTGTGTAGTTTATATATACCACACAGTCAGCATATGTGGCCTTTGTTGTTTTTTATTAGCTGTGGTTCGTCAGGAAGAACTGCTGAGAAGGCAAGTCTTAGTTTCAAGTCTGACCAAGTGAAGGTCAAGCAAGAACCTGGGACTGAGGATGAAATATGTAGCTTTTCAGGAGCTGTGAAACAAGAGAAGACAGAGGATGGCAGGAGGAGCGCCTGCATGGTAAAGTCCACTGGGGTCTGTCAGGGATTCTTCCATCTCTGAGTGTATTGGACTGAATAGTGCTTCTATAAACATTTATTTGTGTTTGAACTTTTATGCCTGGTACTAGTCAGATATCTCTCTTTCTCACTCAGTGTCTCAAAGTGTTAGCTGTAATTAATCCGAAAAGAATTAATACTAAGGATTCATTTCAAATTATCTTTTAGTTTGTAACTGGTCAGTATTTTTGCCATGATTCTAAATCAGGTTCTACCTTATTTTGAATTTATTAATCATCTCAATAGTCACATTGAGTCTCAGGCCACAAATGATCCTTGGCTATTTTCTTGGACCTGTACATTCAGAATTAAGACTGCTGACATGAAAGAAGTTGAGCAACCAAAGAGTTTTGTGATGGGGGAAGAGTGCCTTTAGCTTATGAATTATTAACCATTTTAGAGTTCCCAGATGGAGCACTTTATAGAATTTATAATACAGGATGAAAGAAGGCCCAAGTTCTTCTTTGTTTAGAGATTCTGATCTTGACTTTTCCCTCCTGCCCAGGCTTCTGTCTCATTATCTCTGTGGTTGGCACATAGAAATTTCAGCTCGAGCTACTATACATTGAATGCAATATATGTAGATTTAGAGATCAGCATATTCAGCCTTGGGTTTGGAGCAGTGTCACCTCTTCATTCAGAACTTAGTTTGGAAAGTACCCCCCAAAACGGCAAAAAGCTATGCAGCGGGTTCTTGAGTGAAAAATAACATACTAAAGTCAATTCTCTGTAGGAAAAGTTTAACCCTGTGTTCACTTCCTGGTCAGTGTGCTTATCTGTTAAATTAATTTCCTTACTATCTGAATGAACCAGTATTACAGAGACTGCTCCCTACAATAATAAATTAACATGCCTAAATAATTTTGGAGCTAATTTTATTCCTTTATGTATACATTTTGACATAAGTTTTACACACACGCACACACACACTACAAACAGTGATTAAATGATTCTTCAATAATTTGTCCTTGTTTTGTTTTAGTTGAGCAGTCCTGAGGGTAGTTTGACACCACCTCTCTCAACCAATCTGCATCTAGAGAGTGAGTTGGATGCATTACCAGGCCTGGAAAACCATGTGAAAACTGAGCCTACAGATACTAATGAAAGCTGCAAACAGTCAGGGCTCAGCAGCCTTGTTAATGGGAAGTCCTCAGTCCGAAGCCTCATGCACAGGTCGGCAAGGATGGGAGGAGATGGCGGCAGCAAAGACGATGATCCAAACGAAGACTGGTGTGCCGTCTGCCAGAACGGAGGCGATCTCCTGTGCTGTGAAAAATGTCCAAAGGTCTTCCATCTAACTTGTCATGTTCCGACACTTCTTAGCTTTCCAAGGTACCAGTAGAAGAATTGATTTTGCTGTTGTTTACTTTTATAAGCTAAAAAAACCCCAGAAAGCTACTCAGGACAGATGGCCTTCTTAACTAATGCATACGTAGTGTTTCTGTAAAACGGGCCTGTTGTTCCTTTGGTATTACCTTCTAGAGAAACCAATAGCTGAACAATAAAATGTCCAAGATCTAAGTAGTGCATTAATAATAAAAAATAGATTATTTCCTAGCCTTCAGTTCATACATAATGTAAACAAATTAGATAAAACTCTTAAATTATAAAGGCCAAGGGTCTGGACAGTGTTGGAGAAAGTAGATTTCCTCTTGAAGTCAAATTTTTAAAATCTGTCATCAGTTTTAATAGGGTCTACAATTATGATTTATTTATGAATACTACTTAGTTTTATGGCAATTCTACTGGATCTTACCCAAACTTTTTTAATATATAAAAGCTCTCAGAAGGCATTTTAAAGAAAAAACACCTTGTAAAAACACCTTCAGTGTCTTGAATTTTTTTAGAAATAGCTTCCTCTTGACCACTGGAAGCAGTTACTGGTACTGCCTGCCTGAAGCACTGTGTGCAGATTTCTCAGACGTTTCCTTTGACCTAGTTGGAATGTCTTTCAGTCATTAACCCTGGACTAGACAGTTACTGAATTACTTATTTAAAAGTGAATAATTTGGGGGATAAAAGAAAGAAAGAGCATTGTCCTCAGAGTGTTTGACCCCCATGGCAGCTAAATCTGGTTTCAAGCATTAAAATGTTCATTATTGAGTGAGCACCCATGGAAAGCTGAGAAACCAGCTAATGCAGTGGAACAGATGTGCTGTGCTGGGTTAGAGTTGTAGTCTAGCTACAGCTCTGTAGTGAACTAACTTAGTTACTTCAGGCAGTTCACAAATTTTCAGGGATTACTGTCTACATCTACAAGTGGTAGAGTTTGTTTTAGAAGAGCTCTTTTTCTTCTTTCCATTTAACATTTTATTTTCACACAATTTCAACTTAAGTTGATTTCAGAAACCATAAAATAGTAGCATCATACTTCTTTCTGCCTTCCCCCTTTCTCAACCCTTAGACCTAGATTTCTTTTTAAGTGACAGTAAATCAGTGTTGGGAAAAACCACCTTCTTTTCTGTTTATAGATAAAAATTTTACATTTCCTCTTAAATTTCTGAGAAACAATGATTTTAGTTGAATAATGCTACCTTTTTTGAAAAATTCAACTTTTTGGCTTAGAAAAGTGGTAGATATAGCAACAGTGCCAGAATATTTTTCTGAAGAATAGTAATTCTTACCTAAATCTTAGGAGGCATAGTCATTTGCCAGGGATGCAATAAGGGCATTCTTTTTCTTTACTCTTTTAGAAAAGGAAAGTATTGGCATTTTGGTTTTGAAATGAAGGCTTTTTATATTTGTCCGTCCTTTGAATAGTAACATCTGCTGGAACGTTAGAATTTTGCTACTGCTTTCAGAGGCAGATGCTTTGGAAGGAATCGAAACTGTTGGCACACATTAATATAGTCTCTAGACTTAGAATTTATTTATATATGGTAAAGGAGAGGAGGAGAATGAATACGAATGAGTCAGTGGAGTTTATGGTTTGATAGAAAATTTTATGTAAACAAGCTATAGACTGAGCAGATTTAAAAGATAGGGAGTATCTGCGTGGGCTTGTATTTGTGGGTAGGGGTGTGTGTGTGTGTGTGTGTGTGTGTGTGTGTGTGTGAGTGTGAGAGAGAGAGAGAGACAGAGAGAGAGTGTGTGTGTATTCTAGGCTGTTGACTGGCCATGAAAAAACAATTGTTTTATTTTGGCATGTTTAATATATGCTGGAACAGTACAGGATACCTGAGGAATTTCACGTCCTATATTCTTTCCTTGTTCATGAATATGGGGTCATTGTGATTACTGGGGTCTGAGAGTTGGTCTTATGCTGCAAGTACTGATCATCAGCTTTGGACTATGAGAAGACCTCTTTTGAATGCCAAGATACTGGTTTTCTATTGCTTTCCAGAAGGTAATCAACTGATGGCGACTGGGAAAGTTTTGGGAAGTTTTTATCATGCAAATTCACTTTACGAGATTTGACAAGAGTAGCTCCCCCCCCCTCCCCCCAACAAACCCCAGACAAATTAGAGTCTTAACCTCTAGGGAATTAGCTTCCCTAGAGTGGGTTTTGTTAAAATTACATGGACTCATTGCCTGTTTTCCTCTTTAGTGGGGACTGGATATGTACGTTTTGCAGAGATATTGGGAAACCAGAAGTTGAGTATGATTGCGACAATTTGCAACACAGTAAGAAGGGGAAAACTGCCCAGGGGTTAAGCCCTGTGGACCAGAGGGTGAGTGTCAGTAAGTTTATGTATTATTAGGAATGCTGGAGTTGTCTGGCTATACATTTTTTTAAGTGTGATATACATGTAACCTGATACATTTTCATTTTTTAACCTTCCCATCTGATGGTATATTGATGACTTCTGAAATCTTTCTCTCTAGCCCTCAGCTCTAGACACTTATATTCAGTTTTCTCCTACCTAACATGTCTCAACCAAAATCCTGGTTTTTAATCCCATTCTTCAAAAAGCAAAAGGGATAAACAGGCAAATAGCAACTGCACTTCTCCTCCGTGTTTCACATCATTAAATGGTACCACCATTTATCTCTGTTGCTCAAGCCAGAAATCGGTGAGAAAGAAAAGAATCGGGAATGATTCTAATACTGTGTTCTTACTTGGCCCAATCATTGCTGTCCGAGATAGTCACCATAGTCTGTCATCTGCACTACTGTAGCCATCTCTTCACTGGACTCCCTGACTCTACTCTTGCCCCTTGCAGTCCATTTTCTGTATTGTTCATAGCATTCTTCTAAAAAATGTCAACAAGGCTATTACTTGCTTAACATCCTCTAATAGCTTCTCATTATATTAAAAATGGAATCTAAAATCCTCTCCTCACTTCAGTTGAATTTGTGCTTATGTGGTCCATAGTCTGATCTTCAAAGACAAAATATGTTTCATACAGTTCTGTGGTTAAATTATGTTTGGTTCTAGTCCAGTGTATATATTTAACAAAATCCCTCTTCCACTATCTACGAAGAGAAGGTATATGTTTAGAATATACAAGCTTAATATTGAAAGAAGTTTAAGCAAATGAAAACAACGTAAAATGCATTTCAATTTATTTCTGATTGTGTGAAAATATTCTAGAGTTGGATTGAGAAGACAGGGATAGTTTTTATTTAATTTTGACCCTGAGTGGAATCATTTCAAGGTAGGGAATAGTAAGAAATGTCCAGCCTGCTGCAGGGAATTACAACAAGGAGCAACAGCGATAATTGTTGTACAGAATGCTCTACATTGCTCTGTGTTCCTCTCCATGTGTATAAATAGTTGAGTTAATTGTAGATAAATTACCTTTGTTATCAGATAAGAATAGAGGCACTCTGTCTTTGATAAGTTCATTTAAAGTAGAACCAGAAGATCGTTTCAAAGCTAAATGGGAAACAAGGCGGGTTTTCTTCAGGTGTATGTTTAGTTGGAGAGCTAGTATGTAGGAGGCTTATGTTCAAGTTGTAATAATACTTTATAGTCATAAAGTTGTTATTCTCAAGAATATCTTACTAGACAAAAAAACTTATTAGGGGTTTTCTCTTCTTTTTTTGGGCCAGAAATGTGAACGTCTTCTGCTTTACCTCTATTGTCATGAGTTAAGTATTGAATTCCAGGAGCCAGTCCCTGCTTCGGTGAGTTGTTTACCTTAGTACCACCCTGGTAAAGAAGTTAGGCTCCTTGTGTTAAAACTCAGGCTTCTTGAATAGCCTCAACCTCTCCAAGGCTTAGGTTTTCTTTCCTAATACTATTTCTTCCCTCCTTGGGTTTTTCAAGGGAGATACATGGAAGCTTGTGTAAAAAGTTTTAGCATAGTACCTAATAACATTTTAAGTATTACTTATTAATCAGAGATTTTAGTAGGGCCAAATGGATGTGAGATTTGCCTGTTAAAATTGGAGTTTGTTTTTAAAGATTTTGTTGCTGTGATGAGAACTTAGTGAATTTGATTTCCATGTCCTGTTTTACTTTTAAGATGGACGTAAGGGATGACAGGTGTAATGGAAAGAGTCTTGAACCTCAGAGTCAGAAGACAGCTTCTTCTCTTGCTTCTGCCATTAGCCATCCTTATAACTGGGAAAATTGCATAATTTTTTGCCCTTTTTAAAGTGTGCAGTGGGAGTATTAGACTAAATTATTTCTAAGATTCTAGTTTTATGATTCTAGGCTCAGTATGTTGGGGAGAAAACAATCTATGTAAGTATTAATTTGAATAAATGTGTAAAATTGAACCTTTTACACCAACTCTGCCTTCCTAAGCTCCCTTTCATGAAAAGTCAAGATTAAGAAGACTGGGAATATTTTGCAAGTCAGTGCTCTTTGTTTAACTTAAAGTGGAATTTTGTAAGGAATAAAGGCTCTGAAGTCCTATAGCAAAAGGAATATAAAAGGTCCTCGGTGTGTCATAAATGGTATGATACTGTGCTACACACATTTGACAAGTTAGCCATCAGTTGTTGAATTAAGATATTATTGAATACCAGATGCATATAGATTATTGAATAGTAGATTTGTATACTGAGTAAGTTAAAAAATGAGTTTAAAGCACAAAAGGTCTAGACACAAGGAGTTTTGTGCAAATAGTAATCATCTGATACTAGGAAGTCTGTCATATCTTTAAGTTCAGGGACTTTACAATAGAAAATGACTTTCAAATATTTTTCATGAACTGTTGAAATAGCTTCTCTATGTTCAGTTATTTCCCAAGGATACAAATTTTTGGCCAAGAGTTGGGGCCAGAACTTCCCAGCATGATCACTAAATAGTTAATAAAAATTGGGAGGGGGTAGTTATTACAATCTTTCTTCCTCTATTGCTATGTCCAGAGTACCTTGTGACAGAAAGTTACGTCCTTTAAAAGATACAATATTCTAATGACAGTACATTTTATAACCGTTTTTCTTCCTTTCCTATTTGAAAATAACCTCTTCAGGTATCATACAATTCTGATGTATGACTGACTATCCTTGCTGTTTGCTTTCTTTCCAAATCTACTTATTAAAGATAGAACTTTGAGGCCTTCACTAACATGGATACTGCCACATATTCTGAACATGATTTGATTTTCATGATATGATTGGAGCCAAAGATTTAAAGTATATTCGCTATACCCAAAATTGCAAGCAGCTGGCTCAGTAATTAATACATTTTCCCCCCTAAAATTAATATGCTATGGATTTTCAAATAAACAGCTTGACATTTGGGGAGAATCCTTACCTAGCTGTATTTGTTTTTGTTTTTTTAAGATACCAAACTACTATAAAATTATAAAGAAACCAATGGATTTATCCACCGTGAAAAAGAAGCTTCAGAAAAAACATTCCCAACACTACCAAGTCCCAGATGACTTTGTGGCTGACGTCCGTTTGATCTTCAAGAACTGTGAAAGGTTTAATGAAGTATGTTAGCTTCCAAACTATAGAGTCTTGAATTATTAGTTTTTGTTTGTTTGCTTGTTTTATTGTTTGGATTTGCTTTTCCTACCAAGTAATTTTTCTATTCTGATTTAAAAAAAATTTTTGTGCTTCAATTCTGTCAAAAGTAAAATTTTCATCCACAGCTTCAAAGAAGAAAGTTTACTATGTATAATTTGAAGTATATACTTAAATATAACAAATTAGGAATATTATTAAATATGCCTTCCTGACAAATTAAGGATTGAGATAAATATAGAAAGTAGTCTATAGTGAAGTATATTTTGTGGGAAACAGTTATAAAAGCCTACACTTTGGGTACATTTAGGAAACGCGCTTTTAACGGCGTCCTTTGATTTCCTTGTTGACCATAGAAATGTAGAACCTTAAAATTACAAACTAACCTCTGGTGACTCATTTTGAATAGCAGCCCAGAGTATATAATGTTGTTTTTGGATCTCAGCAATGTGACTTTCATTAACTTTGGTTGTGTATTTTTATGAGGATAAGGGCTTGTTAGCCACACCTTGGAAAGAGATGTGATATATACGCCTCTCTCAGGGAAGTCACTCGGTGTCTTCAGGCCGAGTCCCGCCTCCTGTTACGGGAGCGTTTCCTTCTCCCCGGAGGAGAAAGTGGGACTGGATGAGAAGGCAGAGCCTTTAGGAAGGCTGCTGCAACGCTCTAGCTCCTCTCCATTGCTCGTGACAATCGGGTGCCATATGACTGTTACTCAAATAAATGATGCTGACTAATTTAAAAGGTACTTCTAGCTGGCTCTGGAAGCATCCAGGTGACTTTGTAAAAACTTTTAAAAAGTTCTTAACTAGGTGAAAAGTCTAGTTGCTTTAATAGCACTGTGCCAAGTTAAATTAATACAGTGCCAAGTTTCTCTTATTTTCTAATCCACTTAGATTCTTTCAAATAAATATGCTTCTATGAGCTATGGCTAACATTTGCCAGATAGAAGTTCCATTTTATCTGCTTTAGTAATAGTTAAATAATTTATGATTAACAAATTGCCGTACAGATGGCGTTCCGGTGAAGTGGTTTGTTGGAAGTTGAGCAGGTTTTTAAAAGCAACATTTCTTACATTATTCATGTCACAGATATATTCTCTTAAATAGATTGATGTATTCAGACCAATTTCTATTCATTGACCTCAGTAATTCAGAATTTGAGGCAGTTATTGAGGTTTCACAGTAACTTTAGTAATAGAACTTTGTAAAGGAAGTGGTTCCATGTTCTGTAGAGCTTTAGAAAGCACTTATAATCTGGTCATAACACTTATAACCTGTTCTCCCTAGTATGGCTGACTTTTGTCGCCAATCCTATGCAGTTTTATAACTTTAGAAAGGATTATAATTTCCCTTTTTTTTTTTGACTCTGGTATCCTTTTTAGATGATGAGAGTTGTTCAAGTTTATGCAGAAACACAAGAGATTAATTTGAAGGTAAGCTTTTCAGACCATGCAAACTTGGTGAAGGAATATGTATTACCAATAGGTGAATATTCCTATCTTTTGCTTGCAGGCTGATTCAGAAGTAGCTCAGGCAGGGAAAGCAGTTGCATTGTACTTTGAAGATAAACTCACAGAGATCTACTCAGACAGGACCTTCGCACCTTTGCCCGAGTTTGAGCAGGAAGAAGATGACGGTGAGGTAACTGAGGACTCTGATGAAGACTTTATACAGCCCCGCAGGAAACGCCTAAAGTCAGATGACAGACCAATACATATAAAGTAAAGAGACGTGAACTCAAATCAATTGTTTAAAGAAAGAAAGAAAAGAGAATACACTTTTATTTAAGTGTTGCCGGAATATTCTGCCTACAGTGGGCACCTCCTTGAAGAAGCTGATAGCTTACACAGTATTAGATTGAAACAATGGACAGAAAACACATTCTTGTCAAGAAAGGGGGAGAGAACTCTGTTTGCACCATTGAAAGTAAAAATGAGAAGCAGCAGTGAAATGCTTTGAAGATTTCTGTTACTAAAGAGAAGAGTTTTGACTGTTAGAGCTGGCAGATATTGATGATTATGTGGTATTGATTGATTGGTGCAGAATACTGGGTGTGCAAGTAAATACTTGAAGGTCATGTTGCTTGATAGATTGTCTCTGTGGACCACAGCACACAGCTATTAAACAACTTTGATGCCCCCCCCTCCACACACACAGACACACAGACACACACACACACACACACACTGGCTTGTTTTGTAGTTAAAGTTCAGATTCCATTTTTTATTTTCTCATTTTGATGCTGTTGGGCCTTAGTTTTATATTGGTTTAAAGAACTCAACAATAGTTTTATTTTTTGTTCATACTTGGAGTCTAGAAAACGTTACCATTGATGATCATTTAATCAACTTTAACAGTCTACTGAAATAAATATGGTAACTTTCCAGTAGCAGATCATATAATTATAGGAATCATTTCCAGAAAACACTTCCACAGAATTGCGCCTCTCAGCCAGATCGTTGGATCATACAGTTATTCCCATGAAAGGCAGAATGTTTGTTTCACCATTTACCTAGTCTGTGTATTTAAATTTGATTGAGAAGGTGACAACTGGCTCTTATCCAGTCTTCCTTCATATCAGTTTTCTGATAGACCACTATTGGCAAACATTAATCTGTCAACTACCAAATGTGTAAAATTTTCTGTATTTCACTTTGTCTTATTTGTAAATAGTGAACTAAAACTTCTGGCAGATCAGCAACATTTGCTGAGCCTGTTTTTTAAGCTAATGTGTATTCTTACTAATGTTCCTATCAAGAATGGATTTGTAATATATGCTGTCTATTTCTAATGTTCACATTCATATTTTGAGGTTCTATCTTATTTTAATAGAGAACAGACTTCTCAGAAAATCTTCAGAAGCAGCTTATTATTAAAATATCAAAATATTGAAATAAACCCGGTGGGGTTAGATTACTCATCTGTCCACCAAGTGGGACATTGCATGGACTGGGGGCGTAAAGGACATAGAAGAGACCTGTAAGTAAATCCTGAAAATGAGCCAATCCCCACTTGAATGGTTACTGGAGTAAACCCACCTTTACACCCTGATTTCAGCACCCGAGGCAGATAAACCACCTTGGCTCTGTTTCATTTTCCTTCCCTTCATTGTGATGCTCATATCTAAGATGTGTGTTCTAGACTGTGTACAGGCTTCTCTTTTGCTGGATTAAAAATTTTAGTCCTACTTTTGTATGGACACATTAGAATATAAAGTGACCAAAATAGAAGACTTTCCATTAGATATTTTTCAGACATCAGCAGATTTGTGGCAAGTCATTTGCCTTTTAAAAAATCCAGCTTAAGCAGCTCAGACAGATTATTCAGAAAAAGTTATTTGACATAATTGTCTAAGAGGTAAATATTTTTTAGTGCATATTGAATAAAATAAAGTGCTCTAAAGAAATTATTATGCAAACTCCTTTGGGTTGTTTTTCTTTTCTTAACAAGTGGTGGGGTAACATGAATACCATTCAGGCCTGATGGTGTATTTAAAAAGCACTAATTTTGTTATTGCCATTGACTTCATTCTCTAGCTTCCTTCTGGCTTTTCTTTCAGTTTTGTTGTTAAATTAAAAATATTCCAAACTGTTTTGTCATTTCACTCAAATTTCAAAGAAGAGTTTTCTTAGAAGAGGGAAAAAATTGTTTAAAAATTCTTTTATCTGTGCTCATGTCCCTGTTTCTTACAGTATTTGTGATTTCATTATCAGGGGATGTACATAAGGGCACATTTTTGAAAAGTGATGAGTTAGCAGCATAGCTCACTTTGTCTAATATTTTATACTTTTTTCTTTCATGACTCTTAGTAAGTCATATATAGTTTATACCAATGGCGGAAGAAACAAAATTTTAAGTAAATATTTATTTCTCAATATTTGGGGCCTTAAAAGATAATATGTTCCCTTAAAGACATTTCCGTGTTAGATGGTTTTTTCCCCCTTTGTTTTATTTTAAGATTGGTTCTTAAAAAGCCACTTTATTGTCAGCATTTAATAGGCTCCATTTCTGTTAACAGAAGATAATTCATACTGCTGAGGAATTACCATTAATAGTTATCAATAACTCACCATTAAATAAAGGTGGTCACTTTAGATTTAATTTAAAGCTTTCTTCTTGCACACTGATCGCTGTTTCTAAGCTGATCTGTTTAGCTCTAATATAACTGTTCAAAAGTATAAAAACTTAAATTGATATTCAGAAATCTTATGTACTTTCCTATATGTTTTAAAAAGACAAACATTGAATATCAGTTCCTGTTGGTTGTGACACTCTCGCATTTGTGTCTTCCTGAAAAGGCAGTGTTTTAGATTCCGATGTTGATGTTTCCTTAAAAGCTTGCGAAGTTCTCACATTTCAGTTTCTTTCTCCTATGAGAACACCAAGAACAAAATGTGCCGTGGGCCTAAATTTGTATATTTTAACACTGAGCTGAGCTGATTCACTGCAGGAATTGCTTTGCAAGGTGAAGCATGTGCGTGTTCCATGTTTAGATTGTAGGTCATGCTCTGTATAGAAATATCAAATCACAACCACAGAGAAATGACCAGGCATTGGATCCATTGTTGAAATTATCCTTTTTGGAATCGACAAGGTACTTTCTGACTTCTATTTCTTATATAAAGGAATTTTAAATAAGTTTTAAAGTCAGTTAATTCTCACTTTTTGTTGTAACAGTTTTTAAAACTTTTCGTTAATACAAAGAAATAATGTTTTTAAATAGAAGCAAAAGATTTATAGTGTGCAAATTGTAGATTTATCAATTACCTCAGCAGGTATCCTGCCTTGTAATTATTAGTGATTAGTGTTAATAAGTTAATAGATTTAGGTCTTCTGACAATGCCCTTGGATTGTGACCTACCATATGTTATTAAACAGTCTCTTAATATCCAAAATGGGAGTAGATGCTGTGGCTCCCTCTCCCTTTACCTTTTAACTTTTAAGTTCCTTACCTACTTCTGCTCACATATAACACATGAAGTATGAAAATCTCACTTCTTGTTAGCATTGCTTATTTGTATAATCAGCATTAGATCAGTGAGTAGCTTTATAAAATCTACCCCGTCTCTCCTAATTGAAACAATCAGGTTCTTAAATCATACCATCTGTATTAATAATAATCTGCTGAAGGGGATCAATCCAAGATTTTCAAGGTGTATTACAGTTTGATCATGTATCGGATTTAGACGTTTTATTTCTCTCGTAGTCCTCTCCTCCTTGATAAAGCAATAACACTGCTTTAAGCCTGTTGCCTAAGCACGTCATAATCCTCCTGGATGGTGATTTTATAGGAAAGTTTGTATGCATATCACCCAGTCTAGCTTTTAAAAATTAAGAAAATTAAATGTATGCTGGAGCTAATGACAATATATTGTGGCATTTTATTTTCAAAATTGGGGAAAGTTGCATATTTTTTTAAAAGTAGGTGTTTGAGTAAAAAACCTGAAGGTACTTTTTTAAGGAAAAAATTTATATGCCTCAGTTTACATAGACATTTCAGATTTCAACATGTACTCTGGGATATACGGTTTCTTTTACTTGGTCAAAATGCATGTATAGCATTTCTTCAGTCTTAGTTCCTTGTGTTTGCCTTTGTGGTCTTTTATATATATTTTTTATTGTATCGGAGAAACAAAATTATCTTTAAAAAATCCACTTGGGTATATTTGTCATAATCAAACTACAGAATGTACAAAATTAAGTTCAGCCCTTTTCTAGCAAGTGATCTCTAAAATTAAAAATGCTGTTCTTTTAAATTCCCAGATTTGTATGTGGGAAGGCACAGAAAAGATTTTCTAAGTGCCACTGCAATATTCCCTTTCAAGTGCAGCCTAAATTTCAATCTTAAGAACAAAGTGCATGTCTGCTCCTGGTCTGGAAAGTGTGGGCGTTTACTATGTTTTAGATCACAGCAAAAGATGTACATAAGCCTATAAAAAAGATCTGTGCAGTCTGAAAGCCTGTTAATGTTCTGTGTAGAAATACTGACACACACAAGGGTTAAATTCACAGCCTTACTGCTTCCTTGCTTCCAGGATTTCAGCTGGTCTCCTCCCCTCATTTTTATTATTACTACTACTACTACTACTACTACCACAACTACTATTATTTTTGCACATAGTTAACTACCCTTCAGTATGATTCTTAAAGAAAAAGTGCTGTTTCTGTGGTATTGTATTCTCTAAATAATCATATTTAATTTTTTAAAACAAGGTTGCAGTTTCTAATTGTTCCGTTCCTGTGTTTTTTGCTGGTGTGTAATAAAAGCAAGATTTTCTTTTCATGGTTATTTAATACATTAGCTGCCTGTAAATATTTCTTGTTATAATGCCCTGGAATGTGTTGTAGAAGTTGTATTAGATTAGTTCAAAGCCTTGTTTGAAAGCCACATTGTTTTGGTTATTTCTATTAAATTAGAAAATTGAAAAAGTTCTCAAATGAATTTCTTTTTTTCTTCCTCATTGAGACTTAATCATTTAAACTCATTGAAAATACACTGCGTGCAGGCACTGGAGATAACGGCAGTGAGTGAGAATGGTGAGTGCTGTGATAGGGCTTGACTCAGAATACAGTAGGAACACCTAGGAAAGGGTCTCACCCCACACTCTGATGGTCAGGGAGCTAAAGCAGTGGTCCAGGCAAAGAGAGTGAAAAGAGACTAAAATATACAGAAGCCCCAAAATGAGAGAGAATAGAATATGTATTTCAGGACCTGAAAAGTTCAGTTTGGCTAAACTGGAGTAGGACAGCACTAAGCTGGAGAATTGGGTGGGGTTCTTTTCAAGCAGAGTTTCTTGCAAATTGTATTAAAGGGTTTGGGGCTTACACTCAGGGCAACAAGGAGCCCCTGAAGAATTTTAAGCAGAATGGGCTTGGAGAGTTTCCTTTTCAAAAGCTCATTTTTACTGTGAAGAATGGGCTGTAGAGAAGATAGGAAGTGGAGAGGCAGCTAGAAGCTGTGGGTAATCCAGGTGAGCCCTAAATGGGCCATGGAGATGGAAAATAGCAGTCAGATTTTAGAGAGATCTAGAAAGTAAAGTAGACCAATAATTGAGGCCATGGGGTTGCCCAAGGAATATTTTGTGTGTCACCTATTAAAGTAATTGCGGGGAGAAAGGACTAGATTATGGGTGGAGGGGCGTGAGTTCAGTTTGGAGATGTGTGGAGTTGAAGGTACCGATGGAAAATTAAAGTGCAGATGTCCATGGTTCTGGTGCTCATATGGAATCTCTGGCTGCAGATAGAGCCTGTAAGATCCTCGGGAATCTTGTTGTCTTTAAAGATTAAAAAAAATGTATATGTTTTTACTGATTATACGGAGAGGGAGAGAGAGAAACATCGGAGAGTGAAACATCAATCTCAGCGGGGGCCGAGCCCTCAACCCGGGCATGTGCCCTGGCCGGGAATGGAACCGGCGGCCTTTCGGTGCACAGGGCGATGCCCCCTGAGCCACGCCGTCCAGGGCAGGAATCCTGTCACTTGCCACTGACTATGCCCAGCACGTGGTAGGCCTTCGATAAAGGACTGTCAGGAGTGACCCGCCAGCATTGTAGCTGGAGAGCAGCGTAAGAGTGTTTCTAGAATGGGAAGACTTGAGTGCCCAGGATGGCCGAAGAAACATTTACGGAGCACAAAGAAAGATTCCACAGGAGCCCGGGTTAGCCGTGGAGGAAAACCGAGGCGCTCTAGTGGAAGACGAGGTTTCAGGGAGGCGTGTGAGACCAGTGACACCAGGTTTTAGACGCGACGAGTAAAGTGGCCGTTGAATTTAGCAATCTAGAAACCGCAGGTGACCTTGGGGAGGGCTGCTTCACTTTCAGCAGCAGTAGCCTACAGTGGGTTAGATGAATGAGTGTAGGCAGTTGATTTTTTTTTCTTTTTTCAAGAAATTTGACTTTGGTGGGTTTTCTTTGGGTTATGCATAAGTTACAGTCATGGGTAACCAAGTAAGACACCAGAATGGAACTTCCAAATTGTTGTCTTTCTAGAAGCATTTTGTGTAGTGGAAAAAGCATGGGCTTGACCATTGGGCAAAGTGGTTTGAACCCTTTGGTTTGAAATGGTAAACGGGTTTGCCAGTTAGTTACCTGTATGAACACTCTGAGTTTCACTTTACTTGTGAACAAGGATAGTCATCCAGCTCATGGAATTAATACGGACATGATCGTTGACGTACAGGTTGCCCCATAATTCCCAACAAATAGTTTCCTCTTTCCTTTTTCTATTGCCATGAAAACAGGCAGGTTAGAAATGTAATTTCCCCCTTTTTATTTATGAGATCGAAAAAGACTTCAATATAGGACCCCAAGGCTTTAAAATCTATCCTCAACTCTTAAATATTTAGCTTGCCCTTCACTAATTTAATTGATCCTTAGACTTCTGGACTCCAACAAACATACTAGGTTCTAGATTTTTAGGGACTAATAAAAAATGAATTGGTAGGATACAACACCTAATGCATAATGCATGGTTCGGTCTCAAGCTTCCCCTTTTCACATCACCTGGTGTGGTGGTAAATGTATCCCAGTTCTTTCATAAAGATGCTGCTGTTGGCGATCTGGAAGGGCAGCACCTAAGGGCACCTGTCCCCAGCACTGTGGCAGACAGCATGCTGAGGGACTCCCCCGACGGCACGCAACATCTGAAATGCTGGATTAGGCTCATTAAAAAAAAATTTTGTATTAATATATTGCTGAGCTAGCAGGAAGAAAGAAGCTCAAAGCTCGACACAGTCACCTGTAGTATTTTCCTCCAAAATATTTTACCTGAATCTAACTGTGTGGAATAATTAGACAAATGGAATGGATGTAGGACATTCACAAAAACACCTGGTGTGAATTCTTAAAATAACTGTGTGTAAAACATGGGGAGACTGTTCTAGATCAAACCACATGCAAAACATGAACTTAGATTTTACCTTGATTTAAATAAACCCAGCCATCAAGAGACATTTTAGGAACATCTGTGGAAATTTGCAATGAGCTCTTATGGAATATTTAATTTTCTTGGGTATAGTAATGGATTTGTGCTTATATAGGAGAATGTTCTTTTTCTTTTAAAAAAAATACTGATTTCAGGGAGAGAGAGAGAGAAACATCAATGATGAGAGAGTCATTGACTGGCTGCCTCCTGCACTCCCCCTGCTGCGGATCGAGCCCGCAGCCTGGGCATGTGCCCTGACCGGGAATCAACCGCAGACTCCTGGCTCCTAGGTCGATGCTCAGTGGCTGAGCCATGGCCGGGCGAGTCTTTAATCTTTGTGAAGACCGTGGAATGGGTTACCCATTTTTAGTTCTATTTTATAGTTAAGGAACTGAGGCTCAGGGGTTAAGTAATTTGCTCACGCCCCGGAGCTAGTAAGTGGCAGACCTTAGATGTAAGTTCACTTAGCTTGGCTTCAGGTCTGTGCACGTAACCAGCACGACACCCTGCCTCTAATTTGTTTTTCTGGGGCATTCCTCCTCGCTGACTTAAGAGTGAGTGTTGGGGTGGGAGGGGTCCGTTTACAGTAATTTTGTGTTGGGGTGGGAGGGGGCCATCCTGCCGCCCAGCTCCCACTTCCTGCGGGCCTGACATGAGTCAGAACCGTGTCCACCACAGCACGGGCGAGGCACCTGCCTGGGCTTGGGAACCAGCGCCCGAGGGTCCACCAGGGCTGCCGGGGTGGGTGCTGGCTGCAGAGGCCTGCCTCCGAGTCGAGTATGGGACAGGGACAGACTTGTGCTCTCAGTTGCTGGGATTGCGCCCTGCTTTCTGCTGCTTGCTCTGGACACAAGGAAGCTGCCCCAACGTGGTCAGTCCCTGAGCCAAGAGAGCTGTACAGATGGGCGTGCCATGAGGGGCTGGGCCCAGAGGCCAGCATGACCTCGGTGCCCTCTGCCCCGCCTGCCCGCCCCTGTGGGAGGAAAACAGAACAAGCTGTTTGGAGGAGGCTGGGAAGAGCCCGGAGGCAGCGACAGCCTCAGGACACTTCAGTGCTCCTGGGATCCTGGGGCAGTGCCTCCTTTGGAGGGAAGCCGGGCTGGGAAGGCATCTGAAACCGAGTGACAGGTGGTGGACAAGGGTGGTCCAGGGGGCTGGGTGGTGAAAGACATGGCAGGAGGGTTCTGGTGACGCAGTCTCATCGTCGTGAGCAGCGAGACCCCTACCAGGATCTGCAGGCCCCTCCCCACTGGTCCGGGTGCAGGGAGGCTCGGGTCCTAGAACCCCTAGTTCCTTTTGTGGCCAACACGGGACGAGGGAGGAAGGAGGCAGCCCCCAAAGGCGGGCCTCCATGTTTGTTGTCCCCCTTCCCACAGTGAGAGGTTTGCCTGGGCACCTGGCCGCCGAGCCAGGGACCTTCTGGCAGGAAACCAAGCCCTGCCAACAAGATGTGAGCGAGCTGAAATAAGTATCCCGCCTCCCAGTGCTGCACTTGAAAGTCCGAGTGTGTGTGCCCGGCTTCTCCATCCTGTTGTCTGGGTCGCTGGCAAGAACTGCACCTGAAGCTGTGCTAAGGAGGGCAGACCCCGCGCCGGGGTCACCTGTGTATTCTGGACCTTCCTGAGAGACGACAAACTTCGTGTTTTTTAGGTCTTTTTGTTACAGCAGCAAATCCTAGACAGAGACATGGCCTTGTGCGTGAAGAGACGGAGAAGAGCAGGAGCAGGTGGGAGTGTCTGATGTGCTGGGCCCGAGCCAGGCTGCCTGTATGAGGGCCTTTCCTGGGCTCTGGAGCCAAAGCCCCCGTTTCCATGGGCAGGGTTTACTCGCCCTGTGGCAGGCCCGCAGACAGGATGCTGGCGGCGGTGCCCACAGCCCCTGCGGGACGGCAGCCCTAAGGAGGGCCGGGGCCTCCTCCCAGCTAAGGCGTCAGCCCCTGAGAGGACCCCCTCTCCAAGACCAGGGGTGTGAGTCCCGCCGCTTTTACAGCAGGTCAGCACCTGGTGACTTCAGGATAGCTGGGCCCCAGGGGCTGAGAGCAGGGACTCCCGAGGTTTGCAGCACCTCAGCGACGGCAGCCACACGAAGCAGCGTTCGGACAGGCTCAGCCTGCCAGGGACACTCTGTGCCCACAAGATGGGCCGCACCACCCCTCAGGATGGTCAGCCGTGGCCCCCGGGGCACCTTGCACAGGACCTGACGCCCTGGGGGCTGGCGTGTCCTCCCACCTGGCCCAGCTCCAGCCCCAGGCCGCGCAGGCTCCAAGCCCTGTCCTCCAAGCCCCCTTCCTCCTGAGCTTGCGAGAGAGACACGTGTCAGGACAGGTGCAGGGCCACCCTCTCGAGGACCGAGAGAACCAAAGCAACTTTGACAAAGAGCGTGACGAAGCCGTGAGGGAAGCCCTCTGGGATGGCACTAGGTAAACGCGACACAGCAGAGCCGTTATACTTGTCAGAAAAATAAAGGGGCAAAAGGTTTTGAAAGCCACCGGATTTCAGCCTTTGAAATGC